GATGCTGTCAGGTGGGCCACTCTGGGGCCACTCTGGGGTCACTCTGGGGTCACTGGGGTCAGATCTGTAGGACTGATTCTGCCGTTCATGCTCATTATTTCCTTTCATTGTTAACAGCAGCAGCATGAAGTGGAGATAGATTTAACAGCGTGTTTAAAAAATGTCTTCATCCTTTGAAGTTTATCAAGTTGGTTTTTAAGAACTGGTTTCTATTCAGACTGGTTTTTATTAAATGTTTAAATGTTTTTTTCTCTCTCTTTGTCTTTTTACAGGCACCCATGTGATGGAGGGCTCAGGGAAGATGTTGGTCACAGCCGTGGGTGTCAACTCTCAGACGGGCATCATCTTCACGCTGCTCGGCGCCGGTGAGGACGGCGATGACGAGAAGGACGAGAAGGGGGAAAATGACAAGAAGAAGAAGAAGAGGCAGAAGAAGGAAAAAGACAGGAAAAAAGAAGAGCAGAGGAAAAAGGACAAGAAAGACAAGAAGAGTAAGTTCCTGAGGAACCTGAAGGCAACATCATGATGTCACTGGTCACATGACGTCTGTCATACGGCAGTAAAAGACTCAGACTCCACAGGTGGCAGAGCAGTAATGTTTGGTTGATGAAACAGTCAAAACTCGCTCTTGACTGACAGGTCAATAATCAGAATATAGAGATGTGTAACATAGATGTTGATGTCATCACATTAGACTTTAAACTGTGTTGCTAAGGAACATCTACATCACTACGTCGTAGTTCAACTCCTCGTGTATAACATCGCTGTTTTCTTCCACAGGTAAAAAGGATGACAAGGAAAAGAAAGGTGAGCGTGGTCACAACTGAACTGTTGTTGCTCTGGCGGCCATCTTGATTATCTCTCTCAGTTAGCATCCTCATGTAGAGAGGGGGCTGTTGTACCCACTGGGCAACAGGTGATGTCATACAGTCACACCTTGAAGTTAGATTCACGTTGGTTCAAAGTAGAGGGTTCTAATGTCATGGTCCAGGGTCACCGTCGATGTGAGCCACATGGTGGCAGTGTGTGTCCATGTGGTCTGATCCTGACTCTGTCCATGATTAGGACCAAGCAGATTACTGACCTTAAGCTCAGCAGCTGCTTTCTTCTTCGTCTTCGTCTTCGTCTTCTTCTTCGTCTTCTGCCGCTCCACTAATAAACTCCTTACTGAGCCGGGATCAACGCGCTCACACACCAACTCCAGTTCACATGGTCAGACTGACCGTCACTGCAGCACAGACTGGTGTCTGTTTGTGGCCACTTTGATGATTCAGACAGAACAACGTTGATGTAGTCTGGTTAGCTTCACTGTAGCGCAGCGGTCAGAGTGTTAGCTTAAACCCTGACTGGGATTAGACAAACCTCAGCTCAGTCAGTGAAGTGGCCTCGCCTGAGAGTTTGTCACGTGCTGCGTTTTTAATCCAACACTCTGGTCAAAATTTGTACAGTTTGAACTGGAAAATGGAAAGTTTTTTTCGTTTTTGTTTTTGCCTCAATCCTGTTGTTTTCTGTTCTGATCAATCCCATATTTACTGTTATGGTTCCCAAAGTGGAGGACGGGCCCCGCTGAATGGCACGGGGCTAATGAAGGGGAGGTCATGGTAAAGTCAGAGTTAACTGTTATGGTTCCCAAAGTGGAGGACGGGGCCCGTTGAATGGCACGGGGCTAGACATTTAGTTTGACCAGAGCAAGAAAAAGGCCGACTGACGTCCTGTGGTTTATTTTTTTTTGCAGGTAAAAAGGACGGAGCCAACGTGGAGATGCAGCCGCTCAACGAGGACGAGGACGGAGACAAGAAGAAAAACCTGCCAAAGAAAGAGAAGTCTGTCCTTCAGGGCAAGCTGACCAAACTGGCCGTGCAGATCGGGAAAGCAGGTAAAAACAGAGTGATGATGTCACCGCTGAGCTGTCGGACACGTCCTGCGATGAGCGTAACCCTCTGCGTGTCTTTAGGCCTGTTGATGTCGACCCTCACCGTCCTCATCCTCATCACCCGTTTCCTCATCGACACCTTCTGGATTCAGGGCGTTCCCTGGACGGCTGAGTGTGTTCCCATCTACGTACAGTTTTTAGTCAAGTTCTTCATCATCGGTGTGACGGTGCTGGTGGTGGCTGTGCCTGAAGGTCTCCCTCTGGCCGTCACCATCTCCTTGGCCTATTCAGTCAAGGTTTGTTAATAAAAAAGGCTGAAACTCAAAAGGTTTTTATACAGAATATCATAGTTAATATAGTTAAAGTTGTGATTGATTAAAGAATCAGGACTGGTGTCAAACTGATGTTGTTCAGATGCTGACCCTCAGCTAACGCTGCTTTTCTTCTCTGGCTAGAAAATGATGAAGGACAATAACTTAGTCCGACACCTGGACGCCTGCGAGACGATGGGCAACGCCACGGCCATCTGCTCCGACAAGACGGGCACGCTCACCATGAACCGTATGACCGTGGTGCAGGCCTACATCGCAGGGTGCTACCACAAGGAGGTGCCAGATCCTGGCAAGATTCCAGCCAAGATCCTGGACCTGCTGGTGTTGGGGATAGGGGTCAACTGCGCCTACACCACCAAGATCATGGTAAGATCAGGTCAGGAGTCACGTGACCATTGATTCAGAGTGTGGTTTTAACAGTTACACTCAGTTCAGTTTCTAAAACCTTATTTGGCTTTAATGAAAAGAAGAAAAAGGTTCAGTTTTATAGACCCTGAACCAAGAGGACGTGTCGTTGAGTCTGTAGTCAATCGTCCTATTTGGCTTTAATGAAAAGAAGAAAAATGTTCAGTTTTATAGACACTGAACCAAGAGGACGTGTCTCTGCTGTTCTGTCTCGTAGCCTCCAGAGAAGGAGGGCGGTCTTCCTCGGCAGGTGGGGAACAAGACAGAATGTGCCTTACTGGGATTCACCCGCAACCTGCGCAAAGACTACCAGAGCGTCCGCAACGAGATACCAGAGGAGAAACTTTACAAGGTCTACACCTTCAACTCTGCCAGGAAGTCCATGAGCACTGTGCTGAAGAACCAAGACGGCAGTTACAGAATGTTCAGCAAGGGGGCGTCAGAGATCCTGCTGAGGAAGTAAGTTACCTGATGATGACGACGGTGATGATGGTGATGATGATGATGATGATGATGATGATGACGATGATGATGATGATGATGATGATGATGATGATGATGATGATGATGATGATGATGATGATGATGATGATGATGATGATGATGATGGTGATGATGATGAAGATGATGATGATGATGTGTCTCCAGGTGCTGTAAAATCCTAATAGCCACAGGTGAACCTAAAGACCTCCGACCTCGGGATCGAGATCATTTGGTGAAGAACGTGATCGAGCCCATGGCGTCTGACGGCTTGAGAACCATCTGCTTGGCCTACAGAGATTTCCCCGTGGCTGAAGGAGAGCCTGACTGGGACAATGAAGCTCACGTCCTCAGTCGTCTCACCTGCATCGCTGTGGTGGGAATTGAAGACCCCGTGAGACCTGAGGTGCAGAATTCACACGAACGCAGGCACATTTCACCATCTGGAAAATAGATGTAGAAATAAGTTCAAAACAAGATTCACTGACAGAGAATACGACAGAGTGACTTCACGTGTACCAACATTTTTAATAACAGTTTTTTATATTCAATTTTCCTCAGGTGCCAGAGGCCATCAGGATGTGCCAGAGAGCCGGGATCACAGTCCGCATGGTGACTGGAGACAACATCAGCACCGCCAGAGCCATCGCCATCAAGTGTGGCATCCTGCACCCTCTGGATGACTTTGTGTGCATGGAGGGCAAAGAGTTCAACCGACAGATCAGAAATGAACTGGGAGAGGTCAGACAACAACACTCACCAAACACCAAACACAACCGTGTCGGACAGAATGTCCTCGGTCGTTTCTTTAGCTCCAGTTTCCAGCAGTGACAGCAGCTCCGTCTGTGTAACTGACAGGTTTAAATCAGGGTTTGGTAGAAATCATTAGCATTAGCAGTTCTCTACACATTTTGAAATCTTAAGCTTTTGTGTCTACATTTGTTTGCAGATTGAGCAGGAACGTATTGACAAGATTTGGCCAAAGCTGAGGGTCCTGGCCCGATCGTCACCGACAGACAAACACACTCTGGTCAAAGGTCAGAGGTCATAAAAACTGTCTCATCTACAGTTGCAGTGCAAATATAAAAGTGGAAAACGAATGTGTCCTTGAGATCAAACTGTTGGAGTCGGGGGTGTAGCTGCAGTGAGTGGACGCCGACGGTCAAAGGTCAAATACGTGTGTGTGTGTTTTCTCCACAGGGATCATCGACAGCACGGTCCTGGAACAAAGACAGGTGGTTGCCGTCACTGGAGACGGGACAAATGACGGACCTGCGCTGAAGAAGGCAGATGTTGGCTTTGCCATGGTAACAGATGATGCTGTTTTTTATTTAGACTTTGGACTAAATACTAAAAGTCTTGATCTCACCGGCCTCAGCAGAACTTTACTGACCCTGACCTTGTGTTCGACAGGGCATCGCAGGGACAGATGTGGCGAAAGAGGCGTCCGACATCATCCTCACTGACGACAACTTCACCAGCATTGTTAAAGCAGTGATGTGGGGAAGAAATGTCTACGACAGCATCTCCAAGTTCCTGCAGTTTCAGCTGACGGTCAATGTGGTCGCCGTCATTGTGGCCTTCACTGGTGCCTGCATCACACAGGTCAGATCAATGTTGCTGACCCTAATGTTTGAATTAGGCTCAAAACTGTTCATCTGGTTAAACGTGTGGAGAGTTTTTTGGAGGTGTTTGGACTTGACTTTTCAAATATGTGCTGATTTGTAGGATTCTCCTCTGAAGGCGGTGCAGATGTTGTGGGTCAACCTCATCATGGACACCTTCGCGTCACTCGCTCTCGCCACCGAACCTCCAACAGAAGCCCTGCTGCTCAGGAACCCTTACGGTCGCAAAAAACCTCTCATCTCTCGCACCATGATGAAGAACATCCTGGGACACGCCGTTTATCAGCTGACCCTTATCTTCGTCCTACTCTTCCTCGGTCAGTGACGGCACTGTGATGTCATAGGGCTGCGGTGTACCGACGCAGACAGAAAATCAATGACGTTAGATTTAAACACTTTCTCCTCACAGGTGAGACTTTGTTTGACATCGACAGCGGCAGGAACGCCCCGCTCCACGCCCCGCCCTCTGAACACTACACCATCGTCTTCAACACCTTCGTCCTCATGCAGATCTTCAACGAGTTCAACGCACGCAAGATTCACGGAGAAAGGAACGTCTTCGAGGGCGTCTACAGGAACCCCATCTTCTGCTCCATCATCCTGGGAACCTTCGTCATCCAGGTGACGTGGGACGGACGAGGGCGAGCGGAGGAGACCGTCACACCCGCTGACGAGGCACTGATGTCGGTGTTTTTCTCGTTCTCTGCAGATCGTCATTGTTCAGTTTGGTGGTAAACCGTTCAGCTGTGTCAGCCTCAGCATCGAACAGTGGCTGTGGTGCGTTTTCCTGGGCCTCGGCAGCCTTCTGTGGGGACAGGTGGGACGTTTGTTAAAGCCTTGGAAAGTCTGAGCCACAGAAATGGTTCTCGATCGTTTCATTTATGTCTGACCTTTTTTTCCAGCTGGTGTCCAGTGTTCCCACAAAATGGCTGAAGTTCCTGAAGACAGCAGGTCACGGCACGCAGCAGGAGGAGATCCCTGAGGAGGAGCTGGAGGAGATGAAGGACCTGGATGAGATCGACCACGCTGAGATGGAGCTGAGGCGGGGGCAGGTGCTCTGGTGCCGTGGTCTCAACCGCATTCAGACACAGGTATGGTTTCCCTCCACAGGAAGTGTTTGGACTGTTACAGTAAAGAAAAATAAAAGATAATGTCAGCTTTTTCAATCCTCCACTTGACCCTGACTCTGACCTTCTTCTTCTTCCTCCTCCTTTCACAGATCCGAGTGGTAAATGCCTTCAGGGACAGCGTGTCTCCCTATGAAGGTCTGGAGACGCCGGAGTCTCGCAGCTCCATCCACAACTTCATGAGTCACCCCGAGTTCCGCATTGGAGACTCTGAACCTCGGATCCCTTTGATCGATGAGAATGAGAGTGAGGATGAACCGCCCACCAAACGCAACTCCGTCATCGCCCCGCCGCCGCTGACGACGCCGCCCAACCTCGTGCCGTTACCAACCTCTCTCAATCAGAACAATAATGCACTGGAGCGCGTTGTCCCGCTGCATAAAGACAACCCCAGATCCAGTCTCATCGCCCAGAATTCCTCAACTCTGCCACGGTGTCCGGGGAGCCCCCTGCACAGTCTGGAGACCTCCCTGTGAAACCTCCGATGAAGTCGTTGTTGCTGTACACACTGTTGACTTCCTGCAGGGGGTGCTCACAGACCTACGGTAGCTGCTGTTCCCAGGATGCTTTGTTTCAGCGTCATCCACACAGACTGTGTTCCTCCTCCCTGGTGGTTTCTCAGTGTACGAAAATGAACTTTGAGGTTGTTTTGTAGGTAAGACGTGTTTGTGAAGTGATCAAGGTTCAGTCTTTGGTGTCTGTACATATTACTGTTGAATAATAGGAAGGAAATATTTCAAATCTGCAATGTCTTTGATGGAAACAGCATAATAGGAAGGAAATATTTCAAATCTGTCTTTGATGGAAACAGAACAAACAGTTTGGGTTCAGATTAACAGCTGATCTGATTCTGGTGCAGTACAGAGCACATTTGATGGGTTACGTCTGAACTCACTCGCATCTCGCAAGTTATTTTGACAAAGAATATCTGGCCAAGGTAGTTATGTCTGGCCAGAGGTTAGCTGCAACAACGCCAAACATTAGCCGAAAAAACAAAATCAGAATTAAGTAAGAATAAGAAGTAATTACTCAAATTTGGCCATAAATAATTGTATGTTATTTTAAAAATAGCCACCAAAACGGCTAAAATTAGGGTTAAATTAAAGGGTAAAATTTGAGGTAGAAAAACATCTCTAAATGATTTTTTTAAAGTAACCCAAATAAGTTTGAGAAATTCTGTTTTGGTGAAAAGAAAAAAAACCACATGAACATGACAGAATATTTAAGAAATATCTAATTCACCTGTTGCAATTTTTGAATTAAAAAAGTTTCTATTTTTTTTTCCATCTGGTTAAAAGTTCTTAAGTGCTTGTGAATTCAAGTGACTTCTGCTGCGTCTTGTATCACAGTCTGGAGTCGTGTTCAGGTGTAATGTTTAAAGTCATACTTGGTGGACAGTTATATTCTCACTAGGACTTCTGTTTGTAGACTGTAAATGTAATAATGTATGGATTAAAGTCTAGCTTTTGTAACACTGATGTTATAGACAGTTTAAAAAAAACATGTTTAAGTAAAATGTTATTAAAACGTTTTAAAAAATGAGTTCTAAAACAGTATCTTATAGTCAGTTTTATTTAACATATTTCTCCTATTATCAGATAAAATGTGTGAAATATAAAATGTGTCATTTTAATTTAAAGTATTTTGTTTAAGTCGATTTTATATATTTTATGGAATAATTACTTAATTATTTTATGGATATATTATTTTATTTTATTAAGCGTTAAATAACATTTGTATATATTTGTATTTCCGTTTTGTTAAACTGTAGCGTAAAAAGTTAAATCTCGCCAGTTTTTTTTCTATCGCATCCCAAATGACGTCACATCCAGAAAACCAATCCCTCCGTGCTTTGGATCACGTGAGCAACAGCGCAGCAGATTTGAATTGTTTGCGTCTCCGTGAGTTTTCGTCAGGTCTTCGTGGATGTGAAAAAAAGAGGAATTGTGAGTTTTTGGAGAAACTCAAGGTTGGTGTTTGTTGTCTAAATGAACAGTGACACTCCGTAAATGTTCTGTTTGTCGGTCACTTACTCAAAACGAAGCGAATGTGAGACTTTAATCCCTTTTCTGTTGTCGTTCGAGTTTAGCCAGAGAGGTTAACAGGCAGCTAACACGGCTAACGTTAGCCTTACAGCTAAACACCGGCTGTCTACATGAATGTAAATGTTTTGATTGAACACGTCACTCCATGGTTATAGTCTAACATTCCCTGCAGATCTGGATCAACGGTTACAGAGAAGCTACGGTACAATGGCCGGTCGGACTAAGAGCGGTACGTTGACCCGGACTGACACCGTGTCAGCCTTAAAACCTAGTTTCTGTTGTGTTGATGTGACCCAAGAAATGTTACTGACCGTCGTCTGTGGCTCTGAACAGATTTATTTCTTCTGACTGAAGAGAAGTTTGACTTCGACCTGTCTCTGTCACCTGCCAGGTAAGGAGGACATCTCTCTGTCTCTCTCTCTTTCTGTGGTTTTTATCTGGAAGTTTCCACACGTTTGGTGACCTTTAAACTTCAGGTTTCATGTTTAGACTTTTATTTAACATATTTTCTGTGACTGTCAACAACCTGTAGCTCTTACCTGGTTCCAGTAGCACAAACCACACCCCAGATGAAGACTTTTTTAAATTACTGAGGACCTGGAGTTACACTGGTTAAATATTAACTTCTCTTAAAAAATATTTTTTGTCAAATAACCAGACTGTAACAAACGCAGTACATTCTTGCATACGTTGTTCTTTTTAATGGGGAGTTCTGGAGTTCTCCCTTTGCTGTTGGAACACAAAAAAAACAAGACCTTTGTCTAAAATACATTAAAAATCTTTTTTTTCTCTCCTAACTACATCCAATCCTATAACTTAACCAGGTTACTACAAACAATGGTAATCTTACCATGTTTTAATTTCTTCCCCTATTCTACAATTTTACCTTAACACATGCAGGTTTTGATATTTAAAACTATAACTATTAAATCATTTAAATTATTTTTTATCCATGATTGATTTAATTAAAAACTTATGGAGAACCACTTTAACAGGTAAAAATGTATTCAAAGAAACAGGCTGTAAATCAGAAGTACATTTTTAGGACTAAAGTTCTTGGATTGTGTAGCAGGAATTCACTGAAGTGCAGCTGCTTTTGGATCGATACGTCGTTAAGACCAAACATCTGTTTCCAATTTGCATAGTGCCTCTAACAGTGATGAAGATGAGGATGAAGTGTTCGTAGGTCCAGTTTCTCTTAAGGAAAAGTGTGCCTCTGTAAATCTGAGATCTCGACTTGAGGATGGTAGCGGTTGTGCCCGAATCAGCTGGAGTCCACTGACTGGAGACCAGATGGACGCTGTGTGCCAGGAAGCCCTCAAACTAGCTACAGAGCTGCAGAGCAGTGACTCTAGCAGGCCACCAGGGGGAGACGGAGAGACCAGCAACACAACCTCCGAGGCCCCCGCCCACACGGAGGACTTTGTCCAGGGCTCTGAGGCCAAACTGGGCATGTTTGGTCCGGTCTCCACTGGACTGAGTCCCATTAAACGTGAGACCTTCTGTATCCAGGACAGTCCTATGAAACAGCTGCCTCCTGCTATTCAACGCCGCCTCCTAAGAGGAAGTAATGCCCACGTAGCCCCCCTCAACAGTCGCACCGCCCCCAAAAAAGCACCGACATCACGCCAAAGCTCCACCACCAGCGTGTCTTCCTCAACTCGTCCTTCGACAAGACTCAGCACCTCCAGCCCAGTAGTTGGAGCTAAAGTCCAGCCCAGGACAGGGCTACGAGGCAGGACCTCGATTGGCGTTGGCATCGTGCTGCCGAGCAAACCGGCTGCACCGCCTACGTCAGCTTCCATTAGCAAGACAAAACTGGACAGAACCAAACTGCAGCCGCCAACTAAGGTACAGGAAATGTTAGAGTCGTCTGGACTCTTTATATCTGAACGTACTCTAGACTTTAATACCGTTACGATAAATGTTTTCTCTTGTTTTCAGCCTGTGGCAGGTTGGAGGCGAAGCCCGTCTTCCCGTTCCTCCAGCAGAGCAGGTTCCTATGAAGATCTTCTCTCTGATTCAGCCAGCGTGGCATCAGACGTCAGCGACTCATCTCTAAACTCCAGCGTTGTTGGAAAACGCCCGTTGGCTCCACCCACTAAGGTAACCAATCAGGTTACTGCCACATCCAATTCTGATCTGTTTATTGCAGGACATATCAGTCACTTCCTCAGATTTGTATTTTTACAAATATTTTTATCTTCCCTCCGCATGAATCGACTCCTGAGCAACAAGTGACTTGTTATAGTTTTGCAGTGAAATAAAGGAATATTTATATTCTCAGAGACGTTTTTTTTTTCTTCACCTCAGAATGTTGCTGTAAAGGCTCCGACTGCTCAGAGCAGAAAGGTGACTGACAGGAGGAACACGTCCTCGTCCTCCTCCTCAGTTTCCAGTTTCAACTCCAGTGTGTCTCAGTCTCCAGCCAAAGGTATGTCGACAGCCTAAAACACTGATTATCTAATGACCTAGTTAGTGAAAATTCCAGTTTGGTTGTGGGACTGAACACTAACAATAGAGGGCGCCTCCTCTGGCAGGTAAAGTGAACTCCTCTGTGAACCGGAGTCTGAGCAGCTCCACATGCGCCGCCTCTAGTGGCAACAACAGGACGCGTCGCTCCATCAGCCGGTCCACCGCACCGCCCGTGTCCTCCACCGTGGGGCGCCGCTCGCTGTCCACTCAGCCCAGGAAGCTTTCTGAGGCAGAACGTCTCAGAGCCGCCAAGTCTACGCCCCTGAAGAAGGTGGAGGTCGCTCCACACCAGAGGACACCGGCCCAGAGGGGGTTGGAGAGAAGCATCTCCGTTCCTCCCACCGCTGCAGTCCGCCCTCAGAGTGGGTTAAAGGTCAAGTCCAAACCTGAAGCTCTGGTGGCGCCAACACCCAGTGGAGGAGTCCGAGGAGTCGGCCTCGACGCCCAGTGGAGGAGTCCGAGGAGTCGGCCACCTCGACAGTGAGTCAAGTTTACGGTTCCTCCTCGTTTCCTCTGTTATATTTCACCATCCAACAGTGAAACCTGACAGATTCTTTGACATTAAGGATTGGTTTATTTAATTGTCTCGAGTGTGAGGTTCAGTGATTTCATCGTCTTTCTTTTCCAGGTTCCTCGAAGATTCTAAAGCCAAAGAGATTAGTGTCGATGAACAGCGTGGAAAGGTTAGAACACGTTTCATCAGCCTGTGAGAATCCTGGCATGAAAACCTCTGAATGTTTTATTTTCCCACAGTCTGCCACAGAAACCCGCCACATGTCCTCTGACTCCCTCTGCTGGAGGTGGCAGGTTACTGCAAATGAAGCCTCGTCGTCCCTCCGCCCTCCCAACACCCGTGAGGCACAGGGTGTCTGCGATGGTCACACCAACACTCAACAGCCAGAGCCGCCTGACGAGACCCCGACCCACCGGTGATGACGACCCCGTCAGAAAAGAAAGCAGCTGCAGGTTTGATTCTCCGTTTCCCTTGATCCAACAGAAACCAGATAAAAACGGGTCAAAGTCTGATGTTTGTCTTCATTTTTTTTTTTTTTTTATAAGTCGCATCAGCATGGTAGACAAACAGGAGGCGGAGCCTGTTGATTCTCCAGAAATTCAACCTTTCTCTCTGGAGGAAGAGGAGGAGAAGAAAATGGAGGAGTTGGCCACTGAGCCGCCCACTGAGCCGCCCACTGAGCCGCCCACTGAGCCGCCCACTGAGCCACCCAGCTGCCCCCCAGAGACCACACAGCCAGAAGAGGTGAAATGTGAAGAACCAAACCAGGACCAACCACAGCCTGAGAAAAGCCCAGTCAAACTGGAAGCTGCAGAGGAAGGTCACAGCAAAGCCCCAGAGGTCAGGGGTCGTTACTTTGTTGATGGATTTTCTTTTTTCCAAGATTTGTCTTACAAAATAATCCAATCACTTAAATATTATCATCAAACATCACATGGTCAGGTCATGTGATATAGGCAAACCAAATGATAACAGTTACATTAACAGTAAGGATGTCCGATATTTTAACTTTCTGCCGATATTTTCCGAACATTTAATTTCCGATTCCAATATAAACTGACACAGATGTGGACCTGGTAATATTTATTTATCTATCTGTCAAACCACTGTATGTGTTGCTGGTACCAGCATTCTTCATACACTCCGCTGATCATTAAAATAGATTAATAAAATGAGCTGCAATGCTGCCATCTAGCGACTTTCACTTTAACATACAGCCGTTGTGCCAACTGGAAAATCCGTTCTCCTCCTCCTGCCGTTTGAATCAATACAAACTGGTTTAAAGTTGATGCATCTCTGTTGTCACACCCTCGATACTGACACCTGTCGGTTCCAGCCAGTAGAATTTGAATGTTACCTAGACATAAAAATTAAATGTACAAAATACAAGTGACAGCAGCTAAAAGAAAAAAATAATAATTCAGTTTACTGTGAGGACAGAGGATTCGTGTTTCCTGCAGCCGTTTTCACCTGTTGGTTTTGCTGTAGAAGCTCCTAAGGTCCTGGAAAAGTCCTGGAAAATTCTCCCAGGTTAAAAGCTCACCCGTCCTCATCGCTCTGTTCTCTCCCAGGTTCTCCTGCTGGATCTTCCTGCTCCGGCTCTGCAGCCTCATGAGAAGCTGCTCATTGACCTGTCCAACACCCCTGACCTCATCCGCACCAACAACAAACACTGCACCACAAGTCAGGTAAGACTGCTATTTGAAACACTTTGACTAAAAAATTGACGAAAAAAAGCTATTTGAAACACTTTGACTAAAAAATGGACTAAAAATAAATGAAAAACATGACATTATTATGCCTTAAGTTGTGTGTTTTTTTTTTTCTGTAGTAGATAAAGGAACATTTTAAAAACCGTCTTTAACGCAGTGTTTCTCCACAGCTGATTGACCTTAGCTCTCCTCTCATTAAGTGGAGTCCAGAAGATAAGAGGGAAAACACTGCTCCACTCATCAATCTTTCCTTCTTTCTGATCTTGTTGCAGTTAAAAAAAAAAAGGACTCAGGAATCAGAAGGTTCTCTTTGCTGTAAAACTGATTAGTTTCATCTCCACTCGATCAGAGTATTATGTTTTAAATTATGAAAATATTCATTTTTTAATTGAATGTAATTTTCATTGTTTATGTTTTGCTGCTCTTTTAAATGTCTGAATAAATCTTGTAAATGTCACTGGTTATGTTTATTTATGTTTTTGTTTTTTTCAGTTCACATTATTATTCATTTATTTAACCCAGAAAAGTTGGTAAAAGCAGCGCTCAGCTGTGCTAACGTACAGTCCTAGTCATTTGTTTTCAGGGAGGGTTTGGTTCTGTATCAACACAAATCCCAACTCTCTTCGTGACAAGTGTCGGCCTTCTGATTGGCCAGAGCTGGAGCAGGTGTTCACGAGGTCATTGGTCACAGGGATCGGCCGCGTTTCCATGTAAGTATTTTTGTCTTTATGAATTCTCTGTCTCTGTGAATGTGGGAACGAACAGTGTGTTTCCAAAGACAAACTGGATCTTATCACTGACCACAGCGGTGACCCCTCCCTGACCCCCCCCCCTCAGATGATAGGCCCGAGGATATAAACAGCTGCCGGGGCAGGTGTGGACCCTGTTCTACTGCAGACCCTGAACATGGCCCTGCTGAAGTCCACGCTCTGTCTCCTGGTGGTCCTGGTGGTCTGTGACTTCAGCTGGGCTGAGGAGGAGGAGGAGGTGAGAGACTGACCTTTGAACTTTGTTTGTTAAAACACATTAGTATGTAAGAATTGATGAAAAATATTTTTCTTGTTTAGTATGAACTTTTTTTTAGGAAGGTAAAATGTATGTTTTTATTTGTGTATGTGTGTGTATGTGTATATAAACGTCTGTATATTTATGTATACATAAACAGCTGTTGTGACATTTTTTTCAATATTCAAATGTATTTGATATTTATTTATTTTGTCCAGAATATACAGTACATACACCTATGTATATATACATGTATGTTTATTTGTATTTGTATATGCATTTCTGTTTGTATTCTACATGTATGTTTGTACTTGTGTATGTTTGTGTCTATATATTTGTGTGTTTACGTAATAATGAAACAAAAACGCTTTTAGAAATTTTTAATATTCAAACATCTTGTTCTTTCTTATCTCGATTTCTCTGTGTTTTTATTTTTCTTCCAAAATCCAGTCAAATATGTCACATGTTAAACCTAATATATATTCACTCAGGTTCGTGTCTTTTTGTCTCACTGATAACTGATGTCTCTGATCCAGGAGCTGTCTGTGTCGGAGCTGCTGTGGAAGGCCAACAAGGACGTCGGTAAAAACAAACAAACAAAAAAAAACAACTTAACTTTTGCCCAAACACTCTGTCTGTCAGTACTGTGTACATTCAATATATATTTCCCCCCCGTGTCAGTGCACACCGAGGACGAGCCCCTGGTCATCGATGACATCGCCTACGACCATGAGAACCAGAGGAACGCTGACCCCTGCACCTCCCGCGGCTGCATGTGGTCCAAATCCAGTGACGGAAAAGTCTACGTGCCCTACGTCATCGCCTCGCACTTCTGTGAGTTGATGTTTTTGTTTCAAATCAGTGACATATTAAAATGTTTGTATTCAGTTTTACGTCAGTGACTATGAATGTAATCTGTGCATAAAATAGAATCATTTTTTAAAATTAAAATAAAATTAAAACATTTTCTTAGAATGTTCCGACCTGACCACATGGACTGCAGTTGTTACTAACCTCAGCCAAATATACAAATGCTTTCTTGTCCTGTACTGTGTTCACGTGTTTCCAGCGTCACGTGAACGCACCATCATCGAGCGCGGCCTGTTTTCCTTCCACGACGTCTCCTGCATTCGCTTCATTAAAAGAAGTACTCACAGAGACTACGTCAACATCCAGTCCAACAACGGGTCAGTGCGTGTGCGCGTGCCACCTGCTGGTGTAGTACATTACGGTCCCACTTGGGGGCAGAGTTGCTAACTGTGTCACACGTCATTAGAACATGTTCTGGGTTCATTTTTATTTGTAGTCGTCACTGAGAAAAAAACAAACCGTTCTAATTGGAGAAAATATTATTTTTGAGCCTCTGGTTCAAACTAGTACAAGGTTTAACCTTCAGTAAAATTAAGCCTGAATTTTAGGCCTCAACTGTGTTCTGTGTAGAAGTCAGCGACCTCTACTGTTCAAGTGGATGAAGTTGATTTACAGTTGAATTTTAAATTTTAAAGTATTTCTGTTTACTTCGTGCCAATGGAAAAAAAAAACAAAAAACATGGTGATCCAACATGGCCGCCCTTCTGGATGACTTGCATCATGACAAAAAGTGTTGTTTCCATGGAAATAAAAAATAATATTTTAGACCTTAGCTGAGTACGAGCTCATAAAAGTATAAAAATAAATTTATAAATGCAGTTCAAGCAGAATTTGATGTTTAAACAACATCACAAAACATATTAATAAACATTAATAATCATAAATATTGAAACTGAGCTCAGTTATGCAGAAGCATTTTTTTAGAGATGAACTGAAATCAAAGCTGTGAGTTAAATTATAGCTTCATCTTTTTCTTAGTGTCAGTTGTTTATTTAATACTTTAGAGACAAACTGTTGTCAGTGGTTAAACTGTTCAAAAATAACATTTTTTGCTTCGATTCCCTGCAGCTGCTACTCCTACGTGGGCCGTCGTGGTTATTCCCAGACTTTGTCCCTGGACCGTCAGGGCTGTCTCTACCACAACACCGTCCAGCACGAGCTGCTGCACGCTCTGGGCTTCAACCACGAGCAGTGTCGCTCTGACAGAGACCAGTACATTAAAATCCTGTGGCACAACATCCAGTCTGGTCAGAACACACACGCACACACACACACACACAGACACACGTGTCAATATTAATTTATTCCAGATTATAATCCTGTAAAACAGGACAGCGTTTGTGTTGGTTTTGTTCTAACTTTTCCTGTGACCGTCTGAACCACAGGCTGGGAGTACGCCTTTGACAAGATCAACACCCTGAACCAGAACACGCCCTACGACTACAACTCTGTCATGCAGTACCACAAGTAGGACGCTGCGACCCCTGACCTCTACGTCCTTTTTACTGTTGAAATCAAGGTCTACATTAGTCTAACTTTGTTTGTGCCTGTTTTCCAGGTACGCCTTCTCTGGCAACAACCAGCCCACCATGATGCCCATCCCTGATGCTAACGTCTCATTTGGCAAAGGAACACAAATGAGCAAGAACGACATTGACCGACTGAACAGACTGTACAAGTGCTAAAAAGTAAGAGAAAATGCACACAAGTACACTAACACCAACACAGGGTTCTCCAACCTTTGTTTGAGCCACGGAACAAATGTATCATCTGGAAAAACCCCAGGTCACGTCACCAAACAAAGATCTGACAAAAAGTCTAATAATCTTCTAGATCTTTCTAGATTAAATGACCGTTTGAGCCACGGCACAAATGTATCATCTGGAAAAACCCCACGTCACAGCACAAACAAAGATCTGACAAAAAGTCTCTGTAATAAAATCTAATAATCTTCTAGATTAAATGCCCTAAAAACTAAATAAATAATAGTTTTGCGATCAAACAAGTGACAATGGATAATTTTCCACGGCACATTAGTGGGCCACGGCACAGGGGTTGGGAATCACTGCACTAACATTTCCAGTACATTAATTTACAGAACACAATACAACGTTGTCAACGTCGTCTTATTGCCTTTTTCTGACAGGTGATAAAGATCGGGATCAGACAGTAATGAAACAAATCAAGACATCGTCAAAAAATCGTCTTCACATTTAAAATGCAAAACATTATGATTGGAAATATTAAATATTTCGTTATTGCTGAATATTGTATGTCGTCTGTCTCTGTTGAAACACTAGTTGAACACGTCACGTGGTTGCACTCGTCATGTTAAACAGTAATGACTAATATCTATCAACACTAAGACAAAAATCTAAAGCTGTTCCAAATGCTACACCAAGTATTGTCCACTAGGGGGCGACATGGTCTCAGATTTGCACTCGATCAGACCCAAACCCTCAGGTACTACTGAGAATGTTTTTACACTCGGCTCTGATTTGTCTGTTAGTCCGTGGTCTGAATACCACGTGGGCTACGAAAGAATTCTAATTAAGTCTGATTAGGTGGTGACATAGACTGGGAAATACTAATGTTTAACTGGTAAACTGGTCAACTAGTACATGGTTAATATAATCCAACATGAACGACACCGTAGCTGTCCGTCACATCTCCTGGTTAACTAAGGTGAACGAGTTTGTTGTTGCCGTGGTAACAAACAAACAAACAGTGCTTGTGATTTACTGCCAGCTACAAACTGAGTATGTGTTTACAGGCGACAGTAAAAATAATTTAAAAAAAAAGAGGCAGATTTACAACGTATTAAGACTAGACGACACAGAAACGTTAAAACATTAAGACTTAAGTTTTTCTTCTTCTTCTTCTTCTTCAGGCTCTGGCTCCAGTAGAGTTTGTAGGTTTTGTTTGTTTTAGTAGATTTATTCTTATATACACGCAGGCAGAAAATAACAAAAGACACAAATAACCTCAAAATAAACAAATACACACAGTTAATAACAGATGTTGTAGAACAGCACGACATAATCTGGAGTACGATCAGGAGGACGACCAGATTATATCAGAAGAAGAAGAATCTTCTGTGTCTAATCCACAGAGTGACCCTGACCCTGACCCTGACCCTGACCCTGGGGATCTGTTGGCCTCGATGTTATCGACCACTGCACTTCTCTAGACTCCATGTTAACTGTTCTTATATTTTTATATATTTAAATACTTCATTTTATAATTGTAAATAATTAAAAAATAGGGATGTTCGATAATATCTGTAAGGATCGTTATCGGTTTTTCCTCCGATTATGAAAACCCGATAACGCAATGCCTGGGTTGCACCAAATAGTGTGTGCTCTGAAAACCCGATAACGCAATGCCTGGATTGCACCAAATGGTGCGTGCTCTTAAAAATAGTTTTGGGGATAAACGGCTGTATATTGAAGTGAAAGTCACTAGATGGCAGCATTTCCAAGAAGAAATGGAGAGATAGATAAGTTATTTAAAGAAATATTTCAACATTTGATTAAATATAGATCTAAACCCCCTAGAATCTGGATCTGACGGAGGAGGTGGAACTGAACCTGTGGATTATTAGCATACGAGGATTTAGAATTTGCCAGAAGGTACGACAGACTGAAGTCATCAAGTTTCTCGATGACTCATCTTGGCATCTGAAGTGGTGGCAGCTTCACAACAAAGACGTCATTCTGTTCCGACTCCGGGCGCCAAGTATCGGGGTCATGACCTTGAGAGCTGCACGTGCGGGTTGGACCAGCTGGAACAGTCTGCTGCGTGACCTTTGGGGTCATCACACTTTTCTAACTTTTTACACTTATTTCTTCTGGTGCATCTTTGGATTCGGCTGATGATGACGGTTCAGATGGTTCCAGAACCAAACAGTGTCAGTGTCTACAAGAAGGACTGACACACGGTACACACTGTGTGTACTGTGTGTACTGTGTGTACTGTGTGTACTGTGTGTACTGTGTGTACTGTGTGTACTGTGTGTACTGTGTGTACTG